CTAAAAATACATGTGATGATGAGAAACTGATATCAAATCTATTGTTATTTATTTATTTATTTATTTATTTATTTATTTATTAAAGGATGACTGTAGTATTCTGTAATTTAAACCAACTATCCACTCCTTAAAGCCACTGTTTAAACATTTTAGGGTATACCTATTTTATTTTAGGTGTTACAAAAAAAGGGCTAAATGAATAATCATTATTCGAGTTACAGAGAAACGTAAACCCACCATTCTCGTTATTAATCACTTAAAGTAAAATAATATCTATTTCTAATATGTAATACACCATAGGGGTTTTGGAAAATACTCTTTCTTCAAGTGTTTTTAACTACTTCAACGTTGTCCCACCACTCACTAAATAAAGCAGTAATGCTGGCTCTAACTGTAGTTACTTCAAGCGGCCACTAGAGGTCAGCAAATACCTGTGATAAAATAAGAAGAAACGCAACTAAAAAAAAATAAAAAGGAAAAAAAGAACTTCAGGATGAAGTTCCCCTAATTAATAACGTTGTGTTGGCTACTGTGAGATCAATATTAAATGTTGAAGTTGAAAACACAAAGCTCCTTTTCCCCTGCTGGAAAACTCCTAGTTGGAAGACCTTCACTGCCAATTGTTTGGGATTAAAGGGATCTGCCGTAATTATCCCAAACCAACAGTTAATCTGCTACTGCTGAGCTGGGAATAGATAGCTTACAGGATGTTACTCATCTGCTCCAACTCTTTGCCTGTGCTCCACCTTATGACACTGAGATCTCTTCTATCGAGGTGGAGAGGGGAATGTGGAGGATCGGCGTGTTCTTGACTAAACATATGGAAAGTTTCACTGCATTCTTATAACCCATAGGTCATAGGAATAAAGGAAATGTGACGGTAAGGTTGTCATGTAATTTAGAGGGCAACATGTAGAAAAAGATTTGCAAATGTTTAAACTTCACAACCCACACAGTTGTTTTGAAGATGTAAAATAAGGAGCATATTGAGATCTGAGATTTTTCTGTTGCTCAGATCTGTTGCATTAACAGGCAAACTGATGATCCAGTCTGTGAGTTATTCACTTCTCTCCCAGTCAGTGGAGGTCCAATGGCTGCTGGATGAGCGCCTCCTATTTAAATATTTCAGAGTTTTGTTTTTGTTTTTTTGTTTGTTTGTTTGTTTGTTTTTTGGTGGAGGGGATTGCTGAAATGTCTTTTCTATCTGCAACGACCTTACTACGCCGTCGTAGTAAGCTGCTTCTGCTTCTTCTTTTTCCAGAGTAATTCGTAACTCCGCCCACATCATGTCACACGGATTATCCACTGCAGCGCAGTGAGGCGCGCTCAGGTAGAGGAACCTCCTCGGGAACGTGCTTTCTGGAGGCTGCGGCGTCGCGCAGCAACAGGTTCTGGACGGTCCGGTGTGGTGAAGGCTGATGTGGGCCGCTGGTTCGCGGGAGAAGGCTGCTCAGTCATTTTCCTTCCCTGTCTGAAGCTTTTATCTGCGAAGAGATGTGAAGGTCCGTGGAAATAAATAGGGAGTTTATAAGTGTTCAACTCTGAGAAGGCGAAGAAGAAGAAGTCTGCAGAGAAGACAAGGTGAGTGTTTGTTCGCTCTTTATTGGATTATCTTCATATAATCTCTCTCTCGGCCCGTAGCGGGATTATTGTGGGTTTATGTCGATTTGTAATAGTTATGATGGGATGTAAAACGTACATTCAGACAGTTTCACTCTCAAAAAATTACTTTTAATATACGTTGTGAAAAAATAATTGATGAAATTTATGAATCAGTTAATTGTTATTGTTGACATAAATAATTCAGTCAAACGTTATATTTGCGCTACAGATTGATTTAAAAAAAAAAAGCTACCACACACACACACACACACACACACATACACACACACAATTTATTAAACTGATTGAACTGCAAGTAAAAGCTTCATCAAATAAAATCCGGAATTAACAGAAAAGTAAATATGAAGGTAAATGCATAAACAAGAAAAGACGAATAAAGTATATTCTTTAATCGTATTCTGATTCATAAATAAACTGAGAAACGTTTAAAGAAAGAAATAAGTAAATAAAGTCAAATGAAAACCACAGCAGATAAATGTTCAATAATTAAAAAAAAGAAGAAAAGTTTACTTTTAAAATGTTCAGTAAATACCTACCTCCTGCAAAACCTTGTTTATGAGACTAATATGGTTTAAATGTCACTAAATGGAGCTGTGGGATGAACCAGTACATCGCTGGTCTATGCTTCTTGTAAACAATGCACAATTACACATGCACATTTTGTCCAATTCTTACACATTTTTGGGAGGGCATACTGTACTTAACTGTATTCTTAATTGTGTTTATATATATATTTTGTGTGTATACCGAGTTCCAGTCACTTTGCTACTGGTCCACCTGATTATAACGTCCTACTCTGTCCCATGTCAGCTGCCTCTTGTGGAAACGTGTGTCTGCTCACTGCTGAGGATTTTCCAGTCTTGTGTTGTGGTTGTTTAGCAACAACAGGTCTACGAACTTAAATCAACACAGCAAATACTTTCTTTCTTTTCTTTTTTTTAAAAAGCAAACTTTATTGGAAGACATATCAACACCTCTCATACGTGGCAGCATGACTCAAACCGTGCTGTTGCCCCAGTCGCTCACTGTCCTGGCAGAGAGCTCTGCCTCACCTCAACCTGAGCTCGTCTCGTGTCCTGCTCGGCTCGGCAGCTGCTAATCTCGTTGCCTTTGTTTCCTGCTTGAAAACCTCCCACGGTTTCCTCTGAGTGGGCAGCGAGGGTTTTGTCGCCGATGGAAAGCGCTTTCAGGCCAGGTTCAGTGGGAGATTAAAGGCGTTATCGGCGTTAAGTGTTTGTGACAGAGTGGAAACAGACAACGGAGACGACAATGGACAAACGCGATAAAAAGGCTTTGTGGAAGCTGAGTGGCTGAGATTAGGGATTATTGTATTGTTTGAGTCGAGACTCTGTTCAAGCCCTGATGATGAGAAAGTAATGGGGGGGGGGAAATTAGATTTTTTTAAGAGGGATTTTAACTAAAGCCAATGAAGGCTTAGTAAAAAGGCAACTATTCTACAAAAGCACAATTGAACATCAGTGTTTTATTGTCACTGTATGCAATAAACCAATACAAGATAGTGCGTGATTGTAAAAAAGAAACAAAAAAAAAGCTTTTTTGTTGTTTTTTATGAAGATGTGTGGTATTTATTGTACCCTTCACTATGACACCCCTAAGTAAAATCCAAGGCTACTAATAGAAAGTATCTGAGGAGTGTCTCTGGTAGGGGGCGGCAATGTGTCTGAAAAACGCAACATGTTATCATATCAATAATTATTGATTTGTTTTTTTTGTTTTAAATATCTGAAATATTGCCAAACTGCTGACATGACCTGTTCCTGTTTCCTCTCAAGCTGTTGGACTCATTTTCTGTTTTCAGTCCACGCTGTTGCTTTTTATTTGACACGGTTTTTTCTGAACTCTAGTTTGGACATTCCAAACCTTATTCATATTGCAAAGTGAATATGTTGAACGCAGCAGTGGTTCGCTATGGCACTGTGTGTCAGAAATGAACATTTTCATTGTTGTCTTGTCGGATGAAGCCTGATCGCAACGTTTTTGCAACATTTAACTCTAATATTGTTTGGATTTTCTCATATTGTGTGCCTCTAATGTATAGCCAGACGACAGCTTGGGTGATACTGTTATCTCCCAAATCTTTTCGTTTGCTCCACACACTGCAGGTTTACGATCCCGAAAGAAGACAAGCGAGGCTTAGATCGTGAAGAGACCACAATGCATCTGGTCACCATTGTGATTTTCTTGGCTTTTTGACTGTACTTTTCTTTCTTTATTTATTTTCTTTGTTTATGTTCCACACAAGTGGAAATCAAGCTGTCCACAGGCAGACAGAGGCAGATTTAGCTTGGCCGTCCGCCATGTTGTAATTTGCCCCGTTAAGAGATAAGGACAAAGGAGCAGCTGGTTTTGTCAAGGCTTGCTGACCAGGAAACCGACTCTTATCTGTGAAGGAAATTACTATTTGTTCCAAGAGCTCTTCCACAATATAGGTGAGGAAAATTTTGATTTCAGAGTGGATTAATGTCCTGCATGAAAAACCTTCTCCTCGTAGCTGATTTGGCTGTTGAAAAGAGACGAAGCCGGGTTCATATGTGCTCTGGATCAGCTGAATTGAGTTAACAGGCAGTAGTTTCCAAAGCGCACGAAAGAAAAGGAGCAAACCTTTTATAGGTGTGTTTAATATATGTGACTATACATCTGTCGTTTTGTGTTTAATCGTGTCTTTTTTTCAGCCACACTTTTCAAGCATAATATCTGCATTTATGAGCATCAGAGAAATATTCCTTACTTGTTGAAAAAGAGTGATTTAGCTTTGTTGAATTATTTACTTAAAACTAATTCACGACACGCTTCACGGCAATCAGAACGAGCTCTAGTGCTGAATAACACTGAGATCACAGATAAAACTATGAATGTACATTTTGTCGACATTATTTAAGAAGCCAGTAGAAAGAATATCTGGTGTTTTGTGCCAGATACTGGGCAGATTGCTTTCTCCTTTTCACTACCAACCCACTGATTTCTCTGTTTTAAAAGCAAAATGTGGCAAATACACAGTACCCGATCTTTAAGTCTGACTCAAAGGTGGTTAAACAGAAACCAGATCATTATGGTAGACAAGAGTCACCTGTAAACGGTATGTTGATCTGCTCTTACAAGTGTTGTCACACCAAGCGAGGCTAAGGGCTGGCAACATATCGATGTTGTTGGGCCGAAAAAAACAAAGTGTACGTACCTCATGACATAACATCAGGCAGAGGAAAGTGTAATTAGCTGCCGAAGGACGAGGATGTTTTTCCCAGGTCTTCAGTAACTTCCTCATGCCTTCCTCTTCAGGATTCCCAGTCGTGTGTGGGATGTTAACGGACTGGAGGCGCGTTGAGGCTGAAGGAGCATGGTGAAGCACCAACCCTTACAGGTCTACGAGAAGCAGGTCCTTCTGTCTTTGGTCACCGGCATCTACGGTTGCCGCTGGAAACGCTACCAGCGTTCCCAAGACGAGAGCTCCAAGGTGAGAGAAGAACAAAGTGTGGAGACCAGAAAAGTGTTTTGGACACTTTTTTAAACTGTATGAAGGTGATTTATGGAAATAATTTAGGTAACACTTTATTTGAAGGGGGTTGAATAAGACTGACATGACACTGTCATAAACATGACATAACACCTGTCATGAACATGAATAAGCCTTCATGAATATTTATGACTGTTGTCATAAAGGATCATTTGGTAAATTATGACACTTTTAATACAAAGTTGACATTATTCAAAATGTCTTTGTTATGACAACTTGACATTAACCAGGAAATCATTACTGTTTAAACTTTACCTTTAATAACATAAAGTTACCTAATTTTTAAAGTGCAATCAGTAATACTTTTATAACAAATTTATAACAGTAATGATTTCTTGGTTAATGTCAAGTTGTCATAACAAAGACATAACAAAAATATTTTCACTTCAGAGACAAAATAAAATGACTTTAACGCTACTCAGTTTTTTAATCAAAAATAAATATTAGCTTACTTACATTATGTTTAGCTGTAAATAAACGTACCTGTAAGTACATTTTAAATGACACCTAATATAATTGATTGTAGTTAATAATTCAATATTTTATAGGCGTCTTCCTTCACCACAAGCAGATGTCGTTTGTTTGTAACCCGTGGTTGTGTCGAAGAATTTTGATGAATCCTGATACTTGTTTAATGCACATTTGAAAAGACAAAATTTGAAATAACTTTCCCATTTTTTAAACAAAGGTTTTGACGCTCCTATGAGGTGTCTTTTTTTTAATTTTATTTTGCTTTTCTGAAAAACATTTAATTTGCAAAAAGGGGAGATTGCCAATAAGTTCAGACGTGGCGAACATCTGATGACGCTGATGATTAGCTTAGCCTGGTTGATTCGCTCCAAGCCACTTTCAATACCGATACAGATATCTGTATCGGTATTGATACCTGTATCGGGACTGAACACAATACAGAAAATCAGTGATGAATTGACTTAAAATGTTTCTTTGTTTTAAATGCAGACATACATTTACTGAATTCCAAATGTATTTATTTCACAAGCTTGGTGAAAAACAGCACAGCTTTAATTTGTTCAGTCAGTGCAATTAGGAGTTTAACAGTCAATGTAAAATAAATAATAATAAATTGAAACTGACAAAAACAACAGGTTGACTACTTTGCTCAAACATGTAAAAATAAACTCCAGTAAATTTTCTTTCAAATGGTTGATAAAGTACAATTAGTAATTTTAAATATAATGTAAAATAAATAAAGCATGACATCGCTCAGAGCACAAAGCATAGAACCAAACTCAATAGATCTGCCCTTTTAGACGGGGCACATTGTCATCAATACCCAATCTATGTTTGTTTTTTTGTTATTTTTTTTCAATATTGCGACCGATACAGATATTGATATCGGATTACATCTCTTTTTGCTTTCTGTGTCTCCGTGTCTTGATCTCATTGCTCAGCTGTGGACATTTGGATTTAGAGGACTTTCCATTGTCATTTCCAACAGTCTGAAACAAAACAAAACCTTTAGGTCTCATTCTTTCTAAGTGGTGAATTCTTCCAGGCCTCCCAGATCAGGCCCCAGTAACTGCAGGAGCCGATCCTCCTCATAAAGGCTGCAGCAAATTTAGTGGAGCACTGAAATGAACCAGACATCCAGCTGTGCTGGTTTCCCGCTGCGCTGCCACACCGCCCGCTGCTGCACGTCTCATTTTTATCACGAAGCGACAGCAAGCTCTGCCATAAATTAGCCCGTTTACTCAGTTTCAAAGCTGGTAAGTGTCGATGTGTAAACCAAGAAGAGGAAAGCCATCCGAGCACGCAGCTGACTCGCCACCATTTGTGTGATTTCCAAAGCTTTGTGTTTTTCTCCCTCAAACTCTGATCAAACTCTGGCAGTCAGAGTCCAGCATTCAGAAAGAGAAACAGTAGCTGTGTTTCCTTTCAATAAAAGTTGCTTAACGGAAGCACACAATAACTTTAGTGTTTCAATATAAAGTATAAAGAGGTGGTTTGGTTGACCTTTTTGAAATCAGTGCAATGGAAACATTTCTTTGGCTTTGTAACCAGATGTTACTACAGGCGGAAAAGGCAAATAAGTGGCATGAGGAGGAAGTCAGAATGAACAAACTTATTCTCATGATTTTTTTTTTTGCTTTTCTTGTTCAATGGAAACACTGGAGTTGTAAAATTGTTTTTTTTTCTCGACTTTAGCAGAATATCAACAAAGTAAATGGAAGCACAGCTAGCGTCTGCTTCCACTGCAGCGCAGAGCGACGGTATTAGAGGAGGAGACGAGGCAAGCAAAGCAGCAGTGCTGCGCACAAGAACAAGTGGTGGGTTACATGTGGTCACTTTGTCTCTGATCAGTGGAACGAGCCCCACGGGAGGCCGTGAGTTACTGCTCAGAGTGAAGAATTGTTCTTGCCATTTATCTTCACCAAGGTGATTTTCTCATCTTGTCTCGTTAGTCACAGCCTCGTTTGAACTCTGCTTCACCCCCTTCGCCTGAAACTGGAATTCTAACCTGACAGAGAAACTGTCTCTCCGAGAGCCACATGTGTCGATCGGCACAGAGCAAACACGAGTAACGTTTCAGGAAATAAACCAGTTCCAAGCTGGAAATCTTCCGGTGTCGTCTGTTGTGTGATTCGGGTTCGCAGCGCTGTTGTTTCTCGCTAATCTGATTTTCCAGATAGCGAATTGGTTATTGTAATGACCAAAGCCAGTGTTGGTTGAAGTGAATTTTCTATTTTCATCTTTGATAACAAATTTTCGTCATGGCATTTTCTGTCGCCCTTCGCTTCTGTCATTTCAGAGCCTTTTATAGTATAAGCTTCTGGAAAAGGGACAGTCCAGGCACGGTGTGCCGAAAAGTTAATCTGAGCTTTGCAGAATCCTTTGGGTTACCTATCATACTGGACGCCTCCCCCTCAGCTTGCATTAGCTTCTAATCCAGTTAACCGCTGAGGGGAAGAGTCCTTCAGAGTCGCAGAAGGTCTCTGTACCTTTGCTGCACAAGTCAGGACATCACAGAGGCACACAAGCACACACAGGACAAACAACCGTGCATTCACACACACTCATACGAGGACACTTCAGAGCAGAGGTGGGTAGAGTGCCAAAACTATTGTGCTCTAGTAGGAGTAGCACTACTTCAACGTATTGTATCTCAAGTAAAAGTAGATGTCCAAGAAATGACTAAAATATGAGCAAGAAAAATGGGTAAAAAAAGGGGGATTTAAATACTGAGCAGCTGAGCATAACATCTGATTTAATATTTTAAAATGACGCCATCAGACAAAAGAAAAGTTACGTGCAAAGTTTAAATAACATAATTATAAAATAACAAATTAAAGAGGAAGATATACTTTCTAAAAAAAAGTTATTTTTTTACATAACTAATACAATAAGTATATATGTATGCTAGAACAAGGTAAGTATAGTGTTTACTGTGTGTTGTTGGTGCCGGCAGGTTGAAAAATAGCATTAAAACAATAAAGCTGGTGTTTAAAAAAGAAGTTTGACTTTAACGTAAATGTCATGAGTGTGTTTGTGTGTGGTGCGTTTTTGGTGAAAACGTGATTCTCACTCATTCAGTGAAGGTACTTTCAGAAGTTTCACTGAAGTGAGAGAAGCAACACTTCATGATAATATTACTGAGGCAAATTCACCCGACAAACATGTTTTTAGACTGGGGGAGGAAGCTGGAGTACCCAGAGAGAACTCACTCATGAACAGGGAAAATATGGAAACAGAAAGACCCCCAGGCTGAGATTCAAACCCAGCACTATTTTGTGTACCCCATTTTCAAAACCTAGTGTTTTTTTTTTTTATTTTTATTTCCATTAGCTTCCATTGGTAGATAACTTCAGCAGTGAATGGTAACACAACATAGCTCTTCATATCAGCAAAGTGCTGAATGTACTTTGGAGTATCTGAACACCTCTAGATTTAAGATGGAAATATTACTCTAATGCATTTATCTGATTGGTTAAAAAAATAGCATGGGGTTAGCAGCTCAAAAATAAAAGGTGTGAGGTTATGGATTTCCATGGTAGAGTTTGTAAGTCCCTGTTGTTCCTGTGAGGATCTCTGGATGCTCCCGTTTAGTCCATGTAAGGTTGAATGCTGGTAAGTTGGCTGAAGTTATGAGCATTGATCCTGTTTTCCCTGTTAACTGTGTGGGAGTTTCACCATTAAATTAAACAGATATAGAATATGGACAAACACAGTATGACAAGTTGCAATGATAAACACTTCAGCAGAGCTGAAAACGCTAGAGAGCATTAGATACAGCGTATTGAACCTGAATCAGACTGATAACAGTTTTTGGTTCTTTCACTGTGCTTTTCTTCACAGTGGGAGTGTGCATGGTTCACCATCCTGAGTAGTTCCTTCCTTCTCCTTCTCTTTTGGACCTACTTCTGGTTGGTGGCTCAGAATGATTTCAATGACTTCAACTGGTAGGTGTTTTCCTCTATGATGTAACTTACTTACTGGGCAAAATATTGGATATCTGAAAGGTCAGGGACTTATTCCAGATGAGGTTGGGATCCTAATTTACCTCACAATACCCCCAACAACATATAGGAACATAGAACATTTCTTTTTAGGTTTTCTTGAAACTCAGTGATGTAAATCAAGGCCAAACATCTTATCTTTGGCCTCAATTTTCCAAAAGGGCACTGGTTTTAGAAGTCCATAGGTGTGTTTAGATTGAACTTCACAAGTCATCTTTTGTTTTGAGAGAAGAAAGGAGAGTTGTTTTATCCTGGCAGTCCATTGCAGTTGATCTCCTGAAGTACAGGAGATCAACTACAGCTTCCTCCTGGATGATGGAGGTCCACACTCCATCTCTAAGGTTGGAAGTTCAACTTAACCACTTGAATTCAGGACTTTATCTTTTCCGTGTGATCCCTATGTCAAGACCGTAGTAGTTGACAAAGGGGTTGGGTTAGGGGTCAGTCTCTCTCTCAAAGACAGGAGTTTAAATATCGTCTTGCTCAGAAGTAATGACAGGATGTAGCTAGAGACGGTCACACCAACACTGGCCTCATCTGCAGCAACACCAGTTGAAGAAAAGGTTGAGGTAAAAGGCAAAGTTCTTGATTTGGAGTCCCTCCAAACAATCCTACCTTGTTCTTACATTCTCTCATTGAATTATCATGAACTTTATCCTTCAACATGCTAGCTGTAGGCCTGTAGAGTCTTCAATGTGACAGTTTCGTTTTCTGTTGGCTTTGAACTCAGCTACTTACCCCCTTGATTTCCAATTGAAGCCGTCCCATTTGGCAAAACCACATGAGGTAAATTAGCGATTCCTGTCAACAACCGATGGTGTCATCAATCATCAATCACCAAACCAATCCCTACTGGGTTCCTGTAAATTGAGCTGTCAGCATGCTACAGCAGTCACTAGGATGTCAAACGTCAACAGTCTTCAGCCTATTCTGATTCCAACAGCATCAACAATGACTCTTTCACAATGCATAAAATATTTTTGAACTTGATTGACTTGAACTGAATATTTTGAAACTCAGTATTGTCTTGTTTCATCGTGGCATCACCTTGGATAATTCAGCTCTTGTTTGTTCGTACTCCAGGTCGGTGTACAATCACTCTGGGGAGTGGAGAGACGAGACCATTCCCATCGTCACCTCCACCACTGTGGGATTCATCTATATCACATTCCTCCTGGTAACAGCCTTTCCCAAACCTTTAAGCAGCTCCAACATTGACCGCTTGATGTACAGCTCACTGTTTGTACGTTTTAGATTTTGGCACTTTTCCATATATCCTTGGGTCAACAGCTCAACCTCTACTGGGTTCACAAGGTGCCGTAAGACAACCTCTGAAGCTGTTACTGTAGATGTAGCCGATTTACACTTCAGAACTACAGCTTAGGTTTACCATCGCTTGTCTCTACAGATTGGAGTACTGGCCACTCTACTCACCATAGTCTCTGGTTTTGTCTCTGTCGATGATGTCTGGGGAGATGAGTGGGAAATTATTCTTGTTTCACTTCAGGTGGGAACACAACTACAGTTGAATTTGCATCCACCATTATAAATCACGTTTTCACAAATATAGCAATTTTGATGCTGTAATACCTATGAAAGAAGACAATGAAAATGTTGTTCCAGGCATAGTTTCTGAGGTGAGGTTAGAAACTACCTGGTGTTATACTTATTTATCCAAAATGGGACAAACTCACCAACTTTGAACAAGTGCTATGCTAAGACGTCAAGCTTTACAAATATGCTAATGTAATCTACTGAGCACTATTCCTTGCTAATAAATAGCACCAATGCAAACTGCCTGGGTGACAATTCAAATGCTTAGCAATTTGTCAGACTAGTAAGCTGTGCACAACACCATCTTAAGTTCCCGGGTCAGTTGAACGTCACAAAAGTTGTTTTATTATCACAAGTATTAATTCCATTGTGAAGTCCCTATTTTAGATTCAAATGTTTTCTGATGACTTCACACATTTAAGAGCAGTCCTGATCTTCCTTACTAGTTCACTGCTCCTTTCCTGCACATCGGAGGCCTGGTCACACTCACAGCTGTGAGCTGGTTGATAGCTGGCTATGTGGTTCGCAAAGAGAGATCCAGTAAGTATTGATGTTTATCTGAACTGAACATTGGGATGGTTTCAACCGTCGGTTCCATTAGTGTGTAGGGAATGTTGCTTTTTTCATTTTTGCTCTGTTAGGGATTGGACTTTGTACTTTGTAATTGTATGGGTCTAGCTGCTCCATGCATTTGCTGATCAGTGCTTTTGTAAAACTGTCCACATAATTAACCAGTTCTTTTTATTATTAGATTTCCAGGTGACTGTGTTGGCGATCTACATTCTAGCCCTCCTGGCTCTTTGCCTTGCACCTCTTACCTTCACCTGCCCCTGCATTATGGACCGCCATGTCCTAAAACCACCACCGGTCATTATTGGTCGACGGGGAGCTCCAATGGTGAGCTGAGACTCACACTGTTAAAGCCTTTGTTGGTATTCTGCTTACTTTTGTAAATAATACAGCAATAATGTAATATTTTAATACCTCCCTGCCAGCATGCCTAGGTGGGCCCCATGTGGGGAAAAGGAGGGCAGACTATATAGGTCCCATATGGGTTTGTCCGCGGGTTCCACGATGGCCCCACATGGGTTTGCCCATGTAGGGCCAGAGCCCACATGGGCTCTGGCCCTATATGGCCCACATGGGCATTTGTGCTGGCTTCGTCATAACGGAGTACGGACAGGTTGAAACACACATTCAGACCCGCGGACAAACACATATGGGACCCATATATCAGCCCTCCTTTCCCCCATATGGGTCCCACCTAGGCATGCTGGCTGGGGATCTGATCTGTTCTCCCAAAAGGTGACATTATGCAGCTTCTTTAACATACAGAGTGAACGTGTGCATGTTTCAAAGCTGAAGATGTAAAACTGAATAACAAAATAAGCCTGATGTTGTTCAGGTTGGTGCATGATGATATGCACATACTGGTCAAAATGGTTGACTACAAATGCAGTGATGTTCAGAGCTGTGATTATGGAGTCAGTTGACAGACTTCTCCGCAAGAATAACAGCCTCCAACTAGCCTGGCCGTCGCCTTCCTACACAATTCCTCTTGATTCTCATCTCCCTTTAGCTCTCCATCTGGGATTTCTTCCATTGACCTCGATTTCTCAGGATGAATTTCATCCTGGTCAAACAGCAAACAGAAGGAGAAGTTGTGAACAATGACATTGATTTTCTGCGCTGTTTCAGAATTGTAGTCTGTCTGTGGTTGCAGTTTGGTAATGACAATGGATGAAGCGAGCAAAGCCCTTCGGTCCCTGTTGGCCACGACTCCGGATATTGAACAATTATAGAGAAAGATGAATGTTTAAACTATTTTATCGCTGGCAAATATGTCACGACCACTCTCATTAACAACATTTCCGGGTTAGCTTCATTGCGTAGCTTCCATCACGATCGAGTTGGCACATTACATGGTCATCAGCAGAACTCTGTAGTTTTATTTTGCAGTGTTGGAATAAAAAAATCAGCTGATCAGAAATACGTGGCACCAATAAATAAATACATAAAAGAGAACAATAAATGTCAAAATGATTTACATTACCAAAGACCTGAAAAAGCCGTGCAGCACTATGCATCGACTGGAGCATCTAAGCCTCCATTTTCTTCTAGTCAAGTTTGGCAGTTCTCAAACATTTGGCATGTTAGAAAACAGTGAAAATTCTAAGATATTTAATTAGGGGTTCAGTTTAGGTATTTTCTATACTCTGCACAGTGACTGACTGTGGCACCCTTTGCTCTAGCTGGCCCCTGAAAACACCATGATGTCCTTTAGCAGAGCCCTGCAGCACGGAGCCAGCTCTCTGGAAGCAGACGTCACCATCAGGTGATTAATTACAAAATAATGACTTATTCATATTTCATGGCTCTGAGCTTCCATATATAGATCCTGGCTGATATGTGGGATAGTGGTTAGAGATTGATGTGAGAGAGAGATGCAGTAAAACTGTAATTTGTCAAACTAATGAATCATGTGTTATATCTGTAAGTTAATTTTGCTCTACATTCATTAGGAGATGTATACACTGAAGATAAGGTAATGGATGTTTTTTTTTCCCTCTCGAAGTGTGGATGGAGTTCCTTTCCTCATGAGGGACCACACCTTAAGACGGACCACAGACGTCAGTAAGGTCTTCCCCTCCAGAGAGCATGAGGATGCCTCCTTCTTTAACTGGACAGAGATTCACTCTTTAAATGCAGGCCACTGGTTTTTGGAGGTACTGGATTCCACTCTGGCTCTGTCGAACTCTGAAAACACATCGAGAGCGATTAGGACAGTAGAATTTGCATGATCCTCAGCCTCTCCGTTTGCTTTCTTCTGCTTCCAGAGTGACCCCTACTGGACAGTGAAAACCCTGAGCCCGAAGGATCGCAGCCGGATAGGAAACCTGACGATTTGCAGCCTGGTAGAGATGCTTCGTCTGGCAGCCAGGGCCAACAGCTCCGTGCTGCTCAACATCCGCAAGCCTGCGCCGGAGCACCCACGCTTCCGCAGCTGGTTCATGGACACGTTGTGGACGCTGCAGAAAGCAGGGATTTCCCACAGAAAGGTGATGAGCTAGAAAAACGCAGAGGAACTGGCTGGTGACCGAAATGTCACGGTTTTCAGCTTGATCAAGCCCTTACTGGTGACCGGTCGATCTGAAATTGAAAAATTAATCCTTTGTCTGGTCAGTGAACGGATTTTAAGCTAGGGATGGTGACCTGAGTAAAGACTTCAGACATGAGTTTAGACTTGTGCTTTAACAGCCCAAGACTCAACTGGATATGAGGTGTTGGACTGGAGTCTCAACAACTGTATGTACTGTATGTAATCAGCAGTAAGTGACTGTACGTGTAGCTTATTTGAGTAAATGACCATTGTTGTCCCATTTGATTAACCACTGTGGTTGTCATGGTGATGTTAGACACAGTATGCAAGCTACAGTGCACAGCTTGGAGGAGGTATTGACTGCTGTTCTTGAATCCCTAAATGGTCGTCATGCTTTAGATTAGCCTGATGATTTGAATCGATAACCTACGAGAATTTTGAGGTGAGATGATATGCATGTGATACAAGAATATTCATTTCGATCATTAAGGACTTGACTTGGACATGGAAAAAATGACAACATGACAAATGACAACAAAAATTACAAAAGTTTTTGGGTTTTTTAGAAGGACTACTCCTAATAAGATTAATTGATCACTAATACTGGCAGCAAGGCTTAGATCAACAAATATTGCGAATACTGTTTCATTATCGTAAAGAGGAACTGCAATTGGCAAAAACCAGGCAGAATAAGAGTTCTACAGCCGGAGAAATCAGAGATCTCGCTCAAAACTGAGCAGTGTATTTGTAGTTTGAAGTCATTCAAGTATAAGGGTCAATTAGTAAGTTTCCACCTTATATAATCATTTTTTAATACCTTATCAGGATTTTTCTCACATTCTGCTTCTTTTTGCCAGGTGACATGGGCCCCTGACACGGATAGAGGACGGGTGCGAGGTCTTCTGCAGACAACAAACGAGAAGCTGTCAGTGGAGGAGATAAGGCACAGAGGAATTACAAGTCTGACCATCCACTACAGAAAGATCAGCCACCACGACATTCAGTAAGAGCGAGCGGCTATTGCTTAGCAACCGATAAAGGGCTCAGAAGCAGTCCTAGGAAGATAAAAAAGGAGCTTATTTTTAACCGAGCTAATGATATCCAGCAATGAATCACTGGCTTAGAAGTTTTAGCTTTTTTTTCTGGTGAAAAAGTTTCATCGTACAGAGAAGGTCAAATTTGTCTCGGGACTGAAATGTTTTTCACGTTTTCCTCGTGTTCTTCCTTTACGTCTAGGCTGTTGGTTTTTAAGATCAGAAGACATAAAAGCAACGGAGCAAAAAGTGATTTTCCTTTAATTACACTCATTGGTTCAAACATTTAATTCAGTGACATCCCATCTTTAAAATCTTATCTCTGCAGCTTAAAATGTAGTTTGTTTTGAGAAAAGCCCCCGAAAAACAGAAGGTTAATAAAAACAACAAATAGAAGTAAAAATGGATTTGTTCTGTAAAATACATTTGATTTAATAAATTACTTTTTCAAACTAATATTATGAACTGCATACTTTGTTCACATGTTCTACAGAGGAACACATGCTACTGACTTGCTACTGAAAAACCTACAGTTGTAGCAGCTTCCATCCAGATGCTCCAGTTCTGACCAGTATTATTAGTAGCATAAGTTAGTTTTGATACTTTTAACTTTCCACTGACTGCAGAGAGACAAAAAGAGAGTTATATGGCCTCTGTTCTTAGTGCTGGCATGTATTTTTTTTTTGTTTTCCCCACCCTCAGGGTTTATCTGGCTCACAATGTGAGCGTGACTGTCTACCCTGTGAACGAGCCCTGGCTCTACTCCATCCTGTGGTGCAGCGGGGTGCCTTCTGTGTCTTCTGATGCCCCTCAAGTTCTTCAAAAAGTGCCTTACCCCGTCTGGCTCATGGTAAACAGCTCTCTCGTCCGACAGCACACACACACTTCAGCTTGCAGACGAGGTCACTCAGAAACACAAGAGGACAGAGGGGGAAAGGAAAGAGACTGATGACGGCCCAGCGAGGCAGAGATGTGGAATAAGCCTTCAGTTCAGCACAGGACCCTGGAAAAGAAGAAGCTGAGAACAGATCTGATGTGATGATGCTGCCCTGAGCTGTTTTTGTTGTGGTAGCTTTAGGCGACATGTGGTGACATCTAGTGGCAACAGCAAGAAATTACATGACTTCTTTCCTTCTTCGCAGAGTCACAGTGCTTACAACTTCATCTGGATCTCTTCAGACCTCGTCTCTGTCGCTGTCATCATGGGGATTTTCTTTTTCCAGAAGTACGTTCATTTTCACAGATATAAAAGACTGTGAAAAGCTTTCAATCAGCCCTCTAACATGTTGTTTATGTCCAAGTAGCTGGATTTTCTTGTAATCTTTCAAGGTGGTGTTGATCCACCATTCTCTAGCTTTGCTGAAGGCCTTTTTGGGTTGGCTTATAAACATTGCTTCTCTACTCAACTGCTTGACCTACTGTTACTAATGGTGGAGATTTTGTGATTATGTGGGTCTGTTTCCTTGATTGTTTAAAATATGCGGACATTTTAAATAAAAATCTCGTGGCCTTTGTCAGTAAACCATACTTTTGTGATTACCGGGTCGTTCAGCAGGTAAGTGATCCACAGCCAGCTCATCATACAAAAGGTTCATCAGACACAAAACTCTGCCATCTTCCAGGAGAATTTTATACGACAGCATGTGACCATGTAGATGGAAAGAAAAAGGAGTAAATTTACACACACACACACAAAAAAAAATCTCAGCCCAATCTCAAACAGTTTCTAGAAAAAACCTTGGAAATTTCTGCTTTTGCAAAGTTGAAAATTTGCTAGATAAAAAAAAAACATTCTAGAAAAAGCTTAAAAATGTCAGCGTTTTTTGACTGAATAAGGTTTTCCTTGAAAATGTATGAGCTTTATCTCAAAATTTCTGTTTTTCAGCATAAATCTTATCAGGTTTTTTTTTTCTTCCTTCTTAGCTGCAATGGCCACAGTCATAATCTTAGGTTTTCAGTGAAACTATAACATTTTTGTTGCAATCTGGACGTTTGCTTGTCAGAGTGTCTGAAATATTTTGTGAAACCAGGTTACAGAGTGGAACTTTTCAGAAACACACCTGTGGAGGTGTGATGTACAGGTGTGAAAGCGCACATGCGCAGAACACCTGGCTAGCGCTTACTTGATGCGTGCATGTGTAGAACGCAACAAAAACAATGGCGGCTACCATTGAGTACTACTTAACCTGTTCGGTTTGACACTAACTTCTGAGCATTACATGAACATTCGGTTCACTGGAGACGGGTTACTGTTTTCTAACTGAGCTGGAAGCTAGTGAAGTGGAAGCTAAGGCGCAAAACCACCTGTGTTTTGATGACAAGTTAAAATCACAGCGCCTTATAGTGGTCTGGTGTGAAAACTACAGCGGATTCAAGGTGTCTTGGCTGTCTCGTCAAAATGTGGAACTTTTTCCCAATTAACACAAATGTAGCCTCAGTCCTCAGATTTAAACTCTATAGAAAAGCTGTATGGAGAGTGCTGAAGAAAAGACAAGAGGAGTTGTCCACCATGTTATCCTTCTACAGACAACCTTGTAGTATATGTTTTGCTTGGCTAATGTCTAGAGAAAGACCGACTATAGAGGGGTTAATGCGTACAGAAAACGTCCTGCTTTGCAGTGTGGGTCATTTCTCCAGAGCTGACGTTTTGGAAGGTGAGGGCAACATTTCCGTTCAGTGAACTTCCTGAGCACAGCACTTTTACAGCCTTCAGGCCTCTCTGACATTTGTGCAGAGTGCCTGGTTTGAAATGAGTCTAGTGCTGACACTGAGCTTCACCACATGGCTCCTTATACTTCTCCTTCATCTTAATTATGATGAAAGTCAACTGAAACGTGTGTCGAAATACATAAATATTGTTTCGATAACATTTTTGGAATTTTCAGTGACGGTTTGTTGTCCAGACAGGATGTGTGTTTGAACTGGACCAGATTAAAGTTTTGTCGCTCGTCATTCTCATCATGTCGGTCATCTTCGTCCTCTATGCCGCGACCTCTCACTGTCCTCCTGTCTTCTTCTCCTCTCACGCTCTTTCTTTGTCCTGCGCTCTGCCTGATCTGCATTCAACCTTCCTCTGCTGCTCCCTGGCATCTGTCAGCTATCATATGATCAGGTAACCATGGCGTCCCCTTTAACCTTTGTTTCCACCTCTCTCTGTCCTCCTCCTTGTGCTTTGTACGCCTGCCACTGTTGGTCTGATCCTCCCTCCACTGTCCTCTCGTATCAGATTTTCACCAATGTGTGTCTACATAACACTTGAACACAACGCGGGTTGCTCCTTCTATCCAATACCTGATTTTTCTCACAACGGTTTGAATGTGTTTGTTGCCACAGGTGGAGGATAAGCGGCATGCAGAACTATAACCCAGAGCAGATCATGCTGAGCGCTGTGGTACGACGGCCCAGTCGAGACGTCAACATCATGAAGGAGAAGCTCATTTTCTCAGGTGCAGCTTTCTCAGATTCCAGTCACTGTTTTCAAATTCATAATTAAGCTGTTCGGGTTGTGGAATATGTTTACTGCTAGCTTTAATGTTAGCTAAGCTGCTGATAGCGACGGCAGCTGAAAAGGTTCAATTCACGATCTTTGAAGCAAAGTTCTGTCAAAGTAGGGCGATAATAATATATATTGCAATAGAGGCGTTATCCATATCAGTAGATACTATGTCTGATAGAGTATTACTTCCCTGAACTCCGACCCAGAGCCGCATGGCATTCTGGGGGATGTAGGCAGAGAAAAGGCTTTAGAAGCTCAGCCTCTCAAAGCTAGCACGGTTGGTGGCAGCAACAGACTCTCGCTCTTTGGTTACTTAGCAACAACCTGTTGAGTAACTTGCGCAGCAGCAGTTCCAGGTTTCGCCTCATAACTGCTTAAAATAAAAAACAACGGTGTGGAGTGAGAGGAGAGGATGAGTGAAACCACATGAGAGCAAACTGTGAATAAAACAAGAGGTCACATCACCAACATGGCAGTATTTCAGATATGAAAACCAAAAATCTAGTATTTTTCAGTTATATTGTCTATCCCCATCTAATAGGTTATTTATTAGCAGCTAATATCTTGCCTGAGATAGCTAACTCAGATGCATCTTCATCCATGGTTTACTTAGCTTGTACCAGAGGTTGAAGCTAATTGATAATATAAGGGGGGTCAACATCAAAGTTGTCTTAAAACAGGTCCAATAAAAAAAAACTCGTAGAGGTTTAAGCAAACACTGTTTTATGCACATCTAAATTACCATAAATTTTGTCTCTGGTGATTATTTACACAGAAGGCGATGATTACTTATCAGGAAATTAATGAAGGAGGTAAGAGGTGGCGTACCGCCAATGACAACTCAGCTTATCTGTTACCTCAGACAATTCTACATAAACGTGAAGGGATTTGTTTTATCCATGCCTACTCAGAATGCAGTTTGGGAAATGTAAAGTGACAACATTTATTTATTTTTTTAATGTTAAGCCAAGTGAATGATTCCGGTGTTGGGTGAGTTTCCGTCAGTTTTCCTGTCTTCCTGCGTCTTCCAGAGTTGAACAACGGGCTGGGCAGCACGGAGGAGCTGTCTCTGTATCCTGAGAACAGCCATGTTAGATATTCCCACGGAGGCCTCAGCTGCTGAGCGACACAGATGGCTACAGGAGCAGCTTGGATTTCAGCTGCTTCAGATTTCGTACTCTGAACGCGCTTCCCGACGGGGCAGACAAGAATGTATCCCTGCAGCGGTAGTGAAATCACGAGCGTGTAGCTACCGTCACAAGCATAAATCAGTTGGTTCGCTAGTTTAAGTGTTATAACAACGCTGTTTTTTTTTTTAAGATCACTTTAATGTTGTTCATTTTAAACCACATTCTTTTAATGTAATGCCATACTTCCATTAAATCCAGCGTTTTTATCCAGAATAAAAAAAGATAAAAGCGTCATTATCATCACTACCAAAGTACTAATTTAAAGTATGAACAGTGTGCAGGTATGTGCCTATCACTTCATGAATTAAAGTACCAGCATACAAATAGCTGACCTTTAAAACATTAAAAAAATAAGACATGAAGCTGAAATTTATTATTATTATTTTATTATTTTTTAACAAATTTACCCTATTTTAATCAAAAGTAGCCCAAACAGCTAAAACATGACACTGGAAATGAATCCCTTACAGTGTACAGAGGACCCCCTTCGTGAACAGCTGAAATCCACAAACACTGGAGGCTCCCTCGAGAAATACTGTAATAGTTCAAACACCAAATATACCTTAATATGCATTAATACTCACCATGGAAACCGTCTCAGCACTACTGCAGAAAATCGCATCTACAATCAAGACGACTTAATCTCCTGTTTGTGCTGCTTTCCAAAAGCTAGCCAGTAGCGTCTCGGGTAGCGTTCCACCGAGGCGTCTCAGCTGCCCAACAAGCATCTTTCCTTTGAATGTTTTAGATATGCTCTACGAAAAATCCTCAAATAAATACATTTTCTGTGAATAGATTCTAGTAAGCTCGCACAGAAAACTCCAGGAATCGGTCAACCTGCAGCTGTGAGTAGGAGGGGGTCCCTCTGTGTCGTTTGTTCTGAGAAAGTTGTACAACAGATTTTTTTTTTGTCAGATTCATTTCTTTTAAATCCAAACTAGACTGAAAATTTGAGTTGTTTTTGTTAATAACTGATGTAGATATAACTTTGTTTCAGAGGATTTAAAAAAAAAAAAGGTTTCAACAGTATGAATTTTATATTTTAAATTTGAATAATCTCCATGTTAACGTGGACTGAGGGGAGATTTCATGGTTCGTCGTTCTTTGCGAAGGACGCTACGAACATTCTGCCTCTGCCGTCACGCCACGATTGTTTCACAGATAAAGTCCATTTAGCCGTTGTGACGACTTTCACATGCTGCCTTTTTGTTACGTGGACGTACATGTGGAGTACTTTGACCTTGTAGGGTTTCGTACAACTTCCAGCGACTACTACAAGCTGCAGATGTGATGAGTTTAATAAAGTTTCTCTTTTCTTCTTATGATTGTGCAGCTTGTTTTTTTTGTTGTTTTTTTTACGGAAGTCTTTTAAAACAAACTCAAAGGTATCTAAATGTTTTTGTCACATGGACGAAATACTCAAGTAAGAAGTAATCAGAGGCCAAAAAAGAAAAAAAAAGACTTTGCATAACATAAATAACAGATAAAAAAAATACATATATTTGTTGAGCTCATGTGTCTATTCAATGTTTTAACCGCAAAAGGGTTTTTGAATTTAAAATCTCGCTTATTTTATCTACATATAGTTTTCAATCAAAATTTTATTGACTACAGACGCTGCACTTAAAACTTTTAGTCAAGTCTCACCAGTACTTTAAACCATTAAGTAAAACCACAGAGGGTAAGATGCTGATTGCTCGTAAACTCTCCACAGAAGCTCACCTGTAATGATATCAGTGAGAAAACGTGTTCATCAAATCTTTATTTCAGAAAACAAATCACGTTACAGAAGAAGCTCGTCTGAAAAGGAAAAACAAAAAAAGAGCCAGTTCGTGTGTGAGAACTTGATCATTAGCAAAATGAAGCGATTCCAACCTCACGGCACTTTGACGTATCCAGAGAGAAAATGAGGCCGCGTGTCCTCCGTCATGACGCAGCCCGAGTCTCTGGGACGGCTCTTCACGTCTTCACTGGACCGCTCCGGTTCCGGACTGGATTCGTCCTCCGCCAGGCTGTCGGCTAGAAGGCAGGGAAGCAGGTTTGGTTGGATGGAGCGTGTGATCAGAGAGGCGGGTAGATGAGAAGAAATCACTGCTGTGATTGGAGGAAGAGCCCGTCTGCCCTCATTTCATCCTCTCTATTTGCTCTCTGAGGTCGTCCTGTTAACTTTCACCTCTCTAGCTTTGGTTTCACCTCTGCTTACGCTGGAATGCCTCTCATCCCGATTCCCTTTCTACAACCCCGGTATTTGGGGTTTTGTTTCATTTCAGAATATTTGCATTCACAATGCTCCTGAACGATGCTCAAACCGATCAAGTTTACTGAGCAACGAGGCAACGAGGAAGTTGAAACTACTTGACATGAAAACATAATGAACACATCGCAAAACTCATCAATACACATCATTGTTACCTTAATTGTGGTTCAAAGACGGCTGTAAACAGGTGGAGTTTTAGTCTAGATTTTAAAAAATGTTTCAGCTGTTTTCAAGTTTCCTGGAAGTTGATTCCAGATCTGTGGTACACAGAAGCTGAATGCTGCTTCTCCTGAGAGGTCTGGAAGGTCGACACGACAACAGCAGATCTTAACCGTATTTTCTCGCTGAGCCATTCAGTGATTTATAAACTAACAGGAGTATTTCAAAGTCTGCTCTCTGAGCTACCCCGGTCCGGCGCTTACAGTGCAGTGGCTGCAGGGAGCCAACGGCGGCCAGCAGACGTTCCCTGTGCTCCGGCTGAGTCACGTTCAGCTCCATCAGGTCGCTCTCCCTCAGCTTCCTCAGGTCATCCACTGTTTGGTAACCGCCGCGCTGCAGGGATAAGGCGTGTTCCTGATGAGGCAGAAAGCACCGTTTAGAGTCTTTCAGACAAACACGGAGGCGTTGCGTCATAGAGGGAGAGCTGCACCTCCAAACCGAGGCGCCTCAACGCCTCCTGGACCGTTGACTTCTGGCTCGCTTCGTGCAGGGCCGTGCTAGAGGTGTGTGTGAGCACGTCCACGTAGATGAACTTGAAGTTTCCCGTTCGACCGTTCAGCGAGCCGGTCCATGTCCCCATGGGGGGCTTGGCGATGACATCGATTACATCTCCCACCTGCAAACAAGTTCCTCTCAGTTTCAGTACGTCAAATTTTATTAAATCCCTCAAATAATAGTTGTAAAGTTACGGCTTAAATCATTTATACAATCAAAATTATTTCCATCTGTTGCATGCCAAAATACTGAGAGAGATTTTGTGTTTAATCCTTTAGCTCTTTCTTTAAAGGGGCAGCATTATATATTTTCTTGGCACATAGTGTCAAGTTATAGAACAATCAAGTAACAGTGTTACCTTGAGTTGTTATAAAAATGCTATATATATTAAATATAACTTAAAAGAAATTTGACTTTGCAATTTAATGCCTTGAAATTGGGCCTCTGTCTCTTTAAGAATCTGCCGCTCTTTCTGAAACTCCGCCTCCAGGAAGTCATCACAATGTTGCTCCTCCGATAAACTTTTTACCAGCATGCAGCAGCTCGTATAATGACCTCAGCTGATGCGCGGTCTAACCAGGTGTTTGCTAAGTGCTGCTGGCTAGTCTGGAGGAGCTGACTGGGGGAGAGTGCTGCTCTAAAGCTGAATGGTTGCCACGGAAGATTACAGGATTTGTCAAACAAGCATGAGAGAGTCAAGGCAACACTCCAGGTATATTTTTGATGAGGGACTAACATTATAAAATGATGAAAAGCTAAAAGAAAAAAAAAAGTCTATTTTACACAACAACAATGTAAGCTCGGGTTTCGTTTGGAGGAACTATTTCCGGTCTCCTCCGGGACTCGTGTACCTTGAGCGTGAGCGACTCCGTGTCGTACGGACTTGGAACAAACTCCGTATGCACTCTCGCACGGCAGCAGAACTGCCGTGCGACCGTCGGATCGTCCTCCAGCCTCAGACTCTCTCTGTTACTGGAGCAGTTTGACCCACTGGTGACGCCACCTGAAGCACACAGCAGAAGAGTCACTGCACACACATAGTGGCTTGAGAAACAGATGGAAATGTCAGTAAGGAGTGTCTGTGTCTCATAGGATACTTGAACATGTGGTAAGGCCAAGTTGCCCACCAAGATAGCGCATCTGTGAATGGGTGAATATGACTTGTAGCGGAGAAATACCGTGCTATTGTTGGAGAGAACTTTTAGTTGATTTAGTTGATAAGAGTTAAAGTTTCAAGGAACAAATACTTTATTGAACATCTGCAGCTCACTGGGACAGTGTCCCACTTGGGTGAGGAGACATCCTGTCTTTATACAGCTCTTCACACACGCAGGTGTGGTGGAAAAACAGTTACAAAACACCAAAGTCAACCAATTCTGAGAACTTTCTGACAACCAAGTTCTAAGAAATGGAAAGGTGGGAGCTGAATAAACTATGTGGTAAGTTTGCTATGACTTTGTGCAAAAGTTGATCCCAGGACTTTAAAAGTCTCAGGGTAGCTTCCTATGTTAAAACTAAGCAAAATGAACATATTAAAAAGTATTCACACCCTCATAAAAGTTTTGGCACCCTGGTTAATTCTGATGCTTATGAGGTCATGAACATCAGGGAGTGGTCAGAAATCATTTTAATTCAACACTATGCAAGTCCAGTCCTTTATCAGAGATCAGAGTACGGCTACGTTATAAGCAAGGATTTCATGAGTCGTGTCTTACTGGAGGAGCTCTGTCCACTCTTCAGGCTGTAGAGGCTGTCCAGGGAGGTCCTGGACCGTCTGCGTCCGTTAGCACACGTCCCCCTGTCCCTCTTCACTGCCTCATCGTTCTGCACGTCTCTGCTCTATGGAGTAAAAATAACAGTAGTCGCATTTTTAACTTGCCCCTTATCTGCTCTGCCTTGTAGTGTGTGTGATTTAGCTCCTATTGTCTCCATGCTTCTCCTAGCGCGTACATCTGGAACTATAAAAAAGAAAGAACAAAAAAAAAAAAACCCAGCCGGAAAGGAAGTCGATAAGCTCTGTCAGAGCACCAAGGTGCGGTTTAATTCCTCATGTGACGGCGCAGTTTAATTCCCGTTCTTTTCTGAGACGCGCAACTGCTCTGGCAAGCAATACGCATAATCCTGTAAACGCTGGCTTGCTTTTTATAGTCAACACCAAAGAGGTTTGCTCTGAGTGAAATCCCTGACTACCTGTGGACAGCTTTCACTTTCCGGTGAAAGGGCCGGTGGAGCTTTTAGGTGTCTCTCTGCCTCAGCACATCTGGCTCCAATATTAGCTGATGGCGCTGAGGTAGTTTAGACATTTAATTGAAGCGTGTAGGACAGGGACGTCAAACTCATTTTCATTTTGGGCCAAATCAAAAATCTGAATGTTCTTAAAGGGCCGGTTGCGCCAGGATGTGTTGATAAAACCCACCGAACTGTTAAAATATTCATAAACAGCTGTTTGTTTCGGCATTCAAGAAGTGTTTCTTAGAATTAAATAATACTGAACATTGATCAGTCTCTCCAGGATATTGTGATTGTTTTAGTGTTTTGTTGTTTTTTTTTTTTTTTTTTTTTTTTTTTTTT